CTTCAGCAACTTCTTCAGTTATAGAATAGTATGGGAAGTGAATCTTGAAAGATTCTCCATCTGGAAATGTTGAGAAGACCAACAAGAGTCCTTAATCATGAAATCTTACTGCAATTCCCAGAGGAATTCACTTTGCTTCTTTAAGTCAACTAACAACAAAATACTGAAAATGAGAAACTTATTGCCAAGTATGGCCAGACCACTTCTCTTCATTATGTGAATTTTTATATTCCAAGGGAATTGTCTGGTTTGAATCATCAGTTAATATGATCTGCTTACATAAGTCAGTTTCAGTTTCCAAAGTTATGCCTGGGAGGTTTTGACATAACTCTACAAACTTTCTACTTCATATACAAAACCTAATCAGAAATTTTTATATCCATTGCTAGAGACCTAGATGATTTTTAGTTGTATGTATTTTATAAGGTTTTCATTAACTTAATATTCAAATTTCATGAAGAATTTACTGAAGCTACAGAAGGAATAAGTTTATGAGAGAGCACAATCTTCTGATTGTGAAATCTGAATCACAGAACACAGAAAATTGGGTAGCAGAATTGCAGATATATAGATTTGCAGAATTTTAATTCTGGCCCAATTACTTTGTTAATAAAATAGGTTTCCAGGCTTCCCTGGTGGCGCAGTGGTTGAGAGTCCGCCTACCGATGCAGGGGACGCAGGTTCGTGCCCCGGTCTGGGAAGATCCCACATGCTGCGGAGCGGCTGGGCCCGTGAGCCATGGCCGCTGGGCCTGCGCGTCCGGAGCCTGTGCTCCGCAACGGGAGAGGCCACAACAGTGAGAGGCCCGTGTACCGCAAAAAATAATAATAATAAATAAAATAAAATAAAATAGGTTTCCAAGTTCTATTAAGATATCACTTCAAAATATCTTTTCTACCCTGCCTTTGGCCAGAGCTTCCTTATAGTTTTCTGGTTTTAGTTCCCTGCCACTCACCTTCTTGTATTATAGATGAGAACATATTGTTACCCTTTTCAATAGCCTTTGGTTGTTCACTGTTCTAAACGTTGATTCTCCAGCTCTTCTTCACCTACTCTATACCACTAGGCTGAGTATGGACTCTACACAATGGATCTCCTGTTGAGATTAATCCCTGGGAAAGGAACACCAGACATTCTGATTCAGAGTGTCTGTGGTGGAACCTATGAATCTGTATTTTTAAATGCTCCAGATGATTCAGGGAGCGTATCAGCAGGGGTTGACCCACTTCTCTCACCTGTGAACCATCACCTAAAAGCATAGGACTAGAAACCAATGAGATTAAGGCTTAAATTCTGTTTTACAATTGAGTAGTGTGACCTTCAACAATTTATTATTCTCTTTAAGCGTCAGACTCCCCATTTGAGAAGGGGAGTAAGAACACTGATCTGTCAATGAAGAATAAATGGTGAAGTATATTATGAGAACCTAAAATTATTCCAAGTGCATTATAGGTAATCAATAGAGGAGACTGGAGATGATGAATCAGCAGGAGCAGGGGCAATGATGATGAATATATGTGGAAGGATCTACAGGAACTTGGGAGATAGAGTCAAGAATCAACAGGACCTGTTGACTGACTAGACGAGGAGTATGAAGGAAAGGGACAGGGCAAAAGCAAAGTTGAAACCCAGGATCAGGCTTGAATACTTGATCATTCACTGAGATATAGCATATGACAGAGAGGAGTCATGTGAGTATGAGGTGCCTGTAGTATCTCCGGGGGAAGACATAAGGGTGGCAGTTAAATACATGTGTCTATTGTCCATAAGAGAGAAAAGGGCCAAAAATAAAAATTCTGTATCAGCAAATAAGAGGACCTGGAAATTGTAGCAGATGATCAATATTGGCTCATTCAATTTAAATTCACCACCCTTGCAGGGTACCTTAAGCTAGAGGCTAGAAATCTGAAGACATTTCATGGATCCCTTTGCAGCTTAGTTTCAACACATGACCTAGATTCCACTGAACAAGTGCATCCTCAAAAGGTCTGGAAGCAGAATTCAGCCTTATGAGGGGAAGATATACTTTTGCTGTTTCTTGGCAAGCCCAATTTGGGGTATATTTGGTTTTTGCGTTGCAATTATAGCAGAAGTCCCAGTTTCTAGTCCTTAGCTTAATGTGTGTCAAGAGTTAGGGCATGGGACTTCCATTACGCCAGCAAAGATAATGCAGAGGCCACGTGACCCTGTAGTCACCATCTGTAGTACTGGTTTCCTGTTTTCCTTGCTTGCTACTCTTGGCAAATGTAGTTACCCTTGATGGACCAGTTCTATCATGCTGTTCTGAGAGTCATTCCTAGAAGTTCAACCTATAACTTGACCATCTAGGCCAATAGAATATTCTGTCATGAGGAAAATGTTCTATAAATCAAACATGGTAGCCCCTAGTCACAGGTGACTATTGATCACCTGAAATATGGTTAATGCAACTAAGGATCTAAATTACTGCTTTTATTTAATTATAGTTAATTTAAATTTAAACTTAAATAGCCACGTGCAGTTAATGGCTACCATGTTGGACAGCACAGCTCCAGACCATCCAATGATTTTGTAAGCAATTAATTCCCTGGATTACATTTCTTTCCACCTGAATAAATTAGAGTGGTTTCTGTTATCTGTGTTTGAAGATTGATTAATATATGAAAGCTTGCAATTCCCCAAGGTAAATGCATAGAGTGAGAAAAGTCCTAAAATAATACCAAGGGTAAACCTTGGAAAGAATGGCCAGAGAAGGAAATAAGTGAAAATAGAAAACAAAAATATAGAAAGAAATGCAAGAGAAATTGTGCTATATTAACCAAGAGAGGAGAGTCTTTTAATAAGAGGGAAGTGGTCCATAAGGGAAAAAAGAGTATCCAACATATAGTGGGCCAAGCAGTTGGCCATAGAGGACCCAAATTGCATCACTGGGATGAGTTTTGCTTTATCCTCTTGTGCATGAGTGTCCCCATCCCCAATATCTTCAGGGCTTTAGAGACTAGTTATGTTCATGTTAGTCTGGTGTTTGGGTGTGACAATGTGGAGGTGCCAGGAGAATAGCTTATAGTACAAATTCTGCTGCTTACTCTTCATGTCCTTGAGTAAATGACTGCTACTTTCTTGTCTTCAGTTTCCCATGGGGAAAGAAAACAGGAATAATAATATCCCTTGTGAAGAGTAAATGAAATGTTGATGTGAGAGTGTTTGCAAGCTGGAAAGAAATGTACATGATATGAACCATAAACATCTATCTCAAAGCCAGTCTTAAAGTATCCCCTGATCTCACATGGAACACTGAGGTATCTATAGGAATGAATGAATGAGTAAATAGAGGTCTGATTATAGGAAAACAAGAGCGTTTGAAAAAAAACTTGACAAATTGAATTTTGATAGAACAAGGATAAATGTTAGTGTGAGAGATATCTGAAGAAAGCAATCTCACCGAAAGCTGAGAAATATGAAGAAATATGAACTTGCAGCATAGGGCAGGTATCAAAGAGACACAGCACACATTTGTGAACAAAACAGGCAGAGAGAAAGCAACTATACGGTATTTGACCTAGAAAGGTATTCTATGCAATAATTAAGGAGCTTGAATTGTTTATTCTTACAGTCAATATCTATCTCAATGTTTTGATTATGTATTCCCTAAGGCAAGCTTTCTTGAAATAGGCAATTCAGAGGATGGTACATAGAATTCAAAATGATTCTGAAAATGTCATAGAATAACCAAGAGACCAGAAGAATTCAAGACTGTAGGTAAAAAGTCAAGGCCTGGAATATTCAGATAACATATTGAATAAAGTAAACAAAGAGATAAAAAGGACAAAAACCACAATATTAGAAAATGGCAGCCACAATTTATATATTATAATTTTCTTTATAATATTTTCTTTATAACCAATTTCTGCAATAATTGATTTTAACCTCAATTCTCATTCTAATTTTCTGCCTCTCAGAGGAAAGCAAATCAGGTATCAGAGTCAGTTTGACTTTTTTTTTTTTTTAATTCCTTTAAAATGCAGCAAGGGATTCAGTTAAAAGTGGTGGGAAAAAACTATTTCTATTCCACTCCATTATGCAACCAACCAAAATCAACGCAAAGACTGAAAAACAGAAAATATTCCATTAGAAAGGTTAAGAAGCATGAATTGAATTGTGATGAATATTTGACAAATAAAATAGAGGTCCTCTTGTCTTTAGATATAAGCCCACAGCATTTCCTTAAGCTTGATTTCTCTGATTGGAGATCCATGTTGATGTGTCTTTCTTGAGTAGTTTATCCCCACAATATACTATCTATAATTTCAAATTTCAGTTCTTTAAAGTGGAGCAACAAAGTAAAGACACTTATGAAACAATCTAAGTTCAGAATCCTTCTAGATTTCTTTGGTTTCTTATACCTAACTTAGAGTAATTTTTAGTGATTCCCCCTTATCACTTCTTCCAAAAGCATTCAATCAAGTTTCAGTAAACAACCCTTCTTAAAAATATTATTTTACATAGAATTTTAGCTAAGTTACCAGATACATAAAAATATAAGTGATGTAAACAGATTTGCATACAAACACACTGACTTTGATAAGCACACAAAGCAGCTACGGAGAGCAGGAGAGCATAAGCACGCTAGAGCATTACCCTCTGGCCATTAGCCATAAAATCAGACCAGCCCGGATTATGAAGTCACCACATGGAAGAGAGCTACACTGAGTAATCATATGGACCCACAGATTTTGTGTAAACAACGAATAAACTTATGTTATATCACGCCATTGAGAGTTTGGGGTTGTATGCTAATTCAACATAACCTAATTTATCCATTATATTATACGAATCCTGAAAACACTGTGTCTGCCCCATATTAGATTTCTCATGTATTCTTGCAGCTAAGTATGTCACGTTTCAAGGTTCTGTCCAATGAGAGTTAAGATAATACTTATAGGTGTATTCTGGGGAAAAAAGAAAAACTTTCACTTTCCTCATAAAAAGGACAAATGCAATTGGTTCTGTATTTTACTTACTTGATTGTAAACATCTTATGATCACAGGTGACAATATGAGGAAGAAGCCCAGCATGCTAAGGATGATAAAGAAGAAGAAAAAAAAAAAAGTCAATCTGTTGAGTAGTTCTACCAATATCAGCAAGCAATTATCTACCTACTTCTGGATTTCTTGTTATGTGCAGAAAGGAGATTTTTAAAAAAGACTATTTGATAAATAGTCTTATATATATATATATATATATATATATATTACTCAACCACACACACACACACACACATGCCACATCTTCTTTATCCATTCATCTACTGATGGACACTTAGGTTGCTTCCATATCCTGGCTATTGTAAATAATGCTGCAGTGAACATAGAGGTGCATGTATCTTTTCTAATTAGTGTTTTTGTTTTCTTCAGGTACTATCATATGGTAGTCCTATTTTTAATTTTTTGAGGAATCTCATACTATTTTCCATAGCAGCTGCATCAATTTACATTCCCACCAACAGTGTGTGAGGGTTCCCTTTTGTCCACATTCTTACCAACACTTGTTATTTGTTGACTTTTTTATAATAACTGTTCTGACAGGTGTGAGGTGAAAGCTCATTGTGTTCTTGATTTGCATTTCCTTGATTAGTTCCATTGAGCATCTTTTCATGTGTCTGTTGGCTAATTATATGTCTTTGGAGAAATGTATTCAGATCTGTCCATTTTTTAAAAATCAGGCTGTTTTTTGATGTTGAGTCATGTGAGTTCTTTGTATATTTTGGATATTAACCCCTTACTGGATATATCACTTGCAAACATCTTCTCCTATTAAGTAGGCAGTCTGTTCATTTTATTGATAGTTTCCTTCTCTATGCAAAAGCTTTTTTTAGTTCGATGTAATCCCATTTGTTTATTTTTGCTTTTGTTTCCCTTGCCTGAGGAGACATATTAATCAGTCTGTTAGAATTGAAAACATTCCTAACAGATACAAGGATCTAAGCCCATCCTTTTTAAAGTTTGATCAGCCCATAAGGAATTAATAAGCTGTGTCAGAGAGTAAATCATCTACATCCTTAAGCACACTGTTTTTACATAGCAAGGCTTTCCTGATGAACCAAACAGTGTTTTGATTTACATTCCAGTGCAAGCTCCTTATAATTTTGAAACCAGTAACAACCAGTAGTGGACTGGCTACTTAAAGTAGCACAGTTCTAAGCAATTACTCTGAATAAAATTTTGAAATACTGCTTTTGTAAGCTGTGCTCCATTTTTAGTACTAGTCAAGCTGATAGCATAGCTTCAAGGCATATTGAACAATTCACCATAGAAAATCCTGCGATTTTTTTTTCTGATAGAGTTGACAAGTTTCACTGTCTTTAATTGTACTTTCTGTAACAAGTGATATTTTCATACACATAAATTTTTCATTTCTCTACATCAGAGACATTTTAAAGACATTTCAAGTACAAATTAGGGTGTCACATTTAAGAAAAATATGACAAATTTAATACAAGTAGCTAAGATGACAGTTGGTTCATATTATGCAAGCAATGACAACTATGTCACAATGAACTCCTCTGCCAAGTGTCTGGAGATTTTTCTTTAATATAAAACAAAGGATATATCCTTATATCAGAAACTTAAAAATGGAAAAGAAAATGTGTCCTAAAGATGAGACAATATGATTATGTTTTTCAAGAATTTTGCCCAAACAATTCAGTGAAAAAAAGGAAACTTCATGATTTTAGAGTCTTAGATTCCTTGTTTAATCATAGTCATTTAAGTCTTTAATATTATAATCACAGTTAAGTTAAATATGAATATTTAAATATAAAATGTTGGCCATATCACCAGAACTCCTAGAATTTAAACATCTCTGTGGATAAAAGGAGCATTGCTCTGATAAAATGCTCTCTCAAAATGGGATTTGATAATAGAATTACGTATTCTTGAACTAGAGTAATACAATTTTCCCCAAATAAGAAAATAATTATTTATAATTGATTTCAAAATAAGATTGTTTGTTCCACATTTGTTGATAGAGATAAGTACTTCTTAAACTATCTATGCTGAAAAAGACTAATTTCTTTGTGTAATTTGTAATCTCTCAAGAACACCTTTGTAAAACACAATAAAAACAAATTCCTAGAAAAAAGACCACATACTTTTATGTCACAACAAAGTCAAATTTCTTTAAAAGTTTCTAAATGCTTATGTTCCATTTCTACACTTATATTGCCATGAACTGGGAACAAACAATTTGCAGACTGACACCACACAACTTAGTGCTGGTTTGTTACTGTTGTTGACCAAAGAACATTGATGACCCTTACAGAATTTTTGTTATTATTGTCACATTTGTGTTCTTTGTTTCTTGAAAATAAAAATATACAATAGGCGATGATTCTTTCCATGGGAATCTATGAGGTAAAATGTATGGTTATTTTGTCTCAAAAAGCTGTACAGCAAACAATCAACACAATGAAAAGGCAACCGACAGAATGAAAGTAAATATTTGCAAAAGTTAGGATAGCCAATATCAAAAGAATTAAATAAGTGAATTTAATATGGCAAACATTTGGAGAAATTGGAACCCTTGTGTGTTGTTGGTGGGAATGCAAAATGGTTCAGCTGCTATGGAAAAGAGTATAGAGGTTCCTCAAAAATTAAAAAAGAATTATTGTATAAGCCAGCAATCCTAACTCTGGGTATTTATACAAAAGAATTTAAATCAGGATCTCAAAAAGATATTTGCACTCCTGTGTTTATTGAAGTATTATTTACAACAGTCAAGATATGGAAGCAAACTAAATGTCCACTGACAGATGAATGGATAAAGAAAATGTGGTATATAGATAGAATGGAATATTCTTCAGTCTTATAAAGGAAATCATGTCATATTCAACAATGTGGATGAAACTTGAGGACAGTATGCTAAGTGAAATAAGCCAGTCCCAGAAAGACAAATACTACATAATCCACTTATAGGAGGTAGCTAAAATGGTCAAACTCATAAAGGAAAAAGTACAATGCTGGATGCCAGGGGTTGGGAGAGGGAGAAGTGAAAATCTGCTGTTCAGTGCATATAAAATTTCAGTTATGCAAGATGAAATGGTTCTAGAGATCTGCTGTACAACGTTGTGCTTATAGTTAAATAATACTGTACTGCAGACTTAAAATTTTATTAGGAGGGTGTATCTCATATTATTTCTTTTACCACAGTTTAAAAAATAAAACCATTATTAGTAATACAAAAAAAAAGATTCAGAATAGAAAGGATGAGGAGCCTTTCAGCTCTATTTTAATCTCTGAATTGATATTTATCCTTAATGATAAACAAAAAGAAAAAAGAATAAGAACACTGAAGAATCCTTTGAAAAATACACTTCCTATATTTAGGAAGTGGGAAGAAATTATGAACATGTTAAAGAAAGAAATGAAAAATATATTTTTAAAAAGACACAAAAAGAATTCCAAGAAATAAAATATATCTGAAATAAGAAATATATGGGATTAACAACATATTAGAAAAGGAAAAATAAAATATCACTGAACTTGAATGTATAACAACAAAAACCATCAAAAATATAGCACAATGAGAAAAAAGAGAAAATGAACAGAGTTTAGTGACATGTTTGACAATATCGAACAGACTAACGTACACACAAATGGGATCCCAGGAGGAGAGAAGGTGGAGGGACAGGACAAATATTTGAAAAGTTTCAGAAACCTGTTCCAAACTCTATGAAAAGGATAAACCCACAGGACGAAAATGGTCAACAAACCACAAGCAGAATAAAATGTAAAGAAAATCACACTAAGGCACATCACAGATTGCTGGAAAACAGTAAAAATTCAAACATCTTGAAAGCAGCTAAAGGAAAACAATATATTAGGTACAGAGAAACAAACATAAGAATGACAGTAGAATTTCTCATTTTATTTTCATGAACAGTACTAACAACTAGCTGGATCTAATTGATAATCAAAGAACACTCAGTCCAACAAGAGCAGAACATGCATTATTTTCAGCTATACACAAAACATTTACTAAGATAAAACATATTCTAAGCCATAAAATAATTCAATAAATTTCTAAGTATTGAAATCATAAAATAATTGTCATAAACATAGCAGAATTAATTTTTTAAAAAGATTTTTGGAAAATTATCCATTATTTACAAATTAAACAAAAAACACTTCTAAATAACCCACAAGTCAAAAAAGAAATCAGAGGAGAAAATAAAATATATTTTAGGCAGACTTAAGTTTTTTTTTAAGTCTAACAAAAGTTGGCAGGTGCTCCAAAAGCAGTGTTCAGAGGGAAAAATTATTGCATTAAGTGCTTTTATTATAAGAAAAGAGAAAGATCTAAAAATCAATGGTAAACACCTCTTTCTTAAAAAAAAACTTGGGGAAAAAAAGCAAATTAATACCAAAGTAAGCAGAAGAAAAAGAATAAGAGCAGTAATTGATTAAATTTAAAAGGAGAAACACAATGAAATCAAATGCTGGCTTGTAAAAATCAATAAAATTCATAAACTTCTAACCAGAGTGATAAGGGAGAAGAGAGAAGACAAAAATCACCAACATCAATGAGAGGTGATCACTATATATCCCACAGATGTGAAACACATAACAAGAAATTATTATGAAAACTTTATGCCAATATTTTTGACAGTTAGATGAAATAGGAAAATTTCTTAAAAGACATAAATACCAAAGCTTAAACAAGAAGATACAGTTAACCTGAATAGTCCTATATCTCTAAAGAAATTAAATTTCTACTTAGAAACATCTCCACAAAGAAAATTTCAGACGAATTCACTTATGAATTCCACCAGATATTTAAGAAGAAAGTAATACTAATTCTACAAAAAGCCTTCCAAAAAAATTAAGAGGAGATAACACTTCCCAACTTATTCTGTGAGGCCACCTTTAGTAATTAGACAAAGTAATTACAAGAAAAGAAAACTACAGAGCAATATCTATCATGACCATAAATGCAAAAATGTTTAATAATGTTTAACAAGTTCAGCCCATCAATGTATAAAAAGTAACACATCCAAATGCCCATATGGGACTTATCCA